TGGGCGATGTAAGTTAGGAGGGACCGTAGGGGCCGGGCGACGAAGTTTGGAAGGATTGTAGTTGGTGGGAGACATAAGTCAGCAGGACCATATTCGACGGGCGATGAAGGTCGGAAGGATTGTAGTTAGTGGGCGACGTAAGTCAGGAGAACCGTAGTCGGCTGGCGACGGAAGTCGGAAGGACTGTAGTCGATGGGCAACGTAAGTCAGCAGGACCGTAGTCGATGGGCGAAGTAAATTAGGAGGACCGTAATAGGCGGGTGACGGAGGTCAAAAGGACTGTAGTCGGTGGGCAACGTAAGTTAGTAGGATCGTAGTCGGCCGGTGACAGAGGTCAGAAGAACTTTAGTCGGTGGGCAGCGTAAGTTAGGAGAACCGTAATCGGTGGGCGACGCATGTCATAAAGACCGTTGTTTGGCGACGGAGTTCGGAAGGACTGTCGTTTGACGACGGAGGTTAGAAGAACCGTACACGACGGGCGACGGAGGTCATAAAGACCGTTGTCTGGCGACGGAGGTCGGAAGGACTGTATTTGATGGGCAACATAACTCTGGAAAACCGTAGTAAGCTGGAGACAGAGGTCAGAAGGACTGTAGTCGGTGGGCGACGTATGTTAGGAGGACCGTAGTCGTCGGGCGACGGAGATCAGAAGAATTGTAGTCGATGGGAGACATAAGTCAGCATGACCGTAGTCGGTGGGTGACGAATGTCGAAAGGACTGTAGGTAGTGGGCGACGTAAGTCAGGAGAACCGTAGTCAGCTGGTGACGGAAGTCGGAAGGACTGTAGTAGGTGGGCAACATAAGTCAGCAGGATCGTAGTCGGTGGGTGATGGAGGTCAGAAGAACTTCAGTCGGTTGGAGACGTAAGTCAGCACGACCATAGTCTGCTGGAGACGGAGGTCGGAAGGATTGTCGTCTGATGACGGAGGTTAGAAGAACCGTAGTCGGCGGATGACAAAGGTCATAAAAATCGTTGTCTGGCAACGGAGGTCGGAAGGACTGTAGTCGATGGGCGACGTAAGTCAGGAGGATTGTAGTTGACGGACGACAGAGGTCGGAAGGGCTGTAGTCGGTGGGCGACGTAAGTCCGAAGAACCGTAGTCGGCTGGCGACGGAGGTCGAAAGGACTCTAGTAGGCGGGCGACGTAAGTCAAGAGAAAACCATAGTCAGCGGGCGATGGAGGTCGGAAGGACTGTAGTCTGTGGGCTACGTAAGTCAGGAGGACCATAGTCAGCGGGCGACGGAGGTCAGAAGGACTGTAGTCAGTAGGCGACGTAAGTTAGCAGGACCATAATCGGCGAGCGATAGAGGTCGGAAGGACTGTTGTCGGTGGGCGATGTAAGTCAGCAGGACCGTAGTCGGCTGGCGACGAAGGTCAGAAAGACTGTAGTCAGTGGGCGACGTAAGTCAGCAGGCGACGGAGGTCAGAAGGACTGTAGTCGGTGGGCGACGTAAGTCAGCATGACCGTAGTCGGCGGGCGACATAGGTCATAAAGACCGTCGTCTAGCGACGGAGGTCGGAAAGACTGTCATCTGACAACGGACATTAGATGAAATGCGTTATGTAGAAGTTCAGCAGTGGACAGAAATCCAACATCGGATAGATGTCCGGAAAAACTCCAACAATAGGCAAAAGTTCGGCGTCAGGTAGAAATCTGGAGACGATCGGAGGTCCGCCGTCAAATAGAAGTTTGACGTTAGTCGGAGACTGGGTAGAACTTCGACGTTTGATGATATTCAGGCAAAACTCCAGAGTTACTTGGAGATTAGACAGAATTCCGACGTCATTTGGAAGTTGGGCAAAATTTTGTCGTCACTTGGAAGTCGGGCATAATTCCGACGTCAGTTGGAAGTTGGGCAGAATTCCGACGTCATTTGGAAGTCGGGCAGAATTCCGGCGTCACTTGGAAGTCAGGCAGAACTCCAGCGTTACTTGAACGTCAAGTGGAACTCCGGCAGTTATCGAGGAGTAGTTTATTCCATCATTCCATTCTTCTCTTCTTTTCTCCTTCTTATCTTGCTTCTTCTTTCTTGGGTCCCCTCTCAAGAGAAATGAAGGTCTATTTATAGTTTTTTAAGGATGGCATGACCCATAAATAGGAAGAGGATCAAGGGCAAATGTGGGGTGGTTCGGATGGACGGCTGATATTGAATCCCTTTATCGTGGTCCGTTTGTCAGACATTTGAAGGTCTTAATGAAATCAGAATTCGGCGATCTTAGACTCGCTGGATTTGTCTCGTCGAGCCGCTCGATTCTATTACAAGCATGTCATGTTTGAAAACCATTTGGTAATCCAAATTGTTGTTTGAACCTTCCAACAGCGCTTCAGGTCTTCGATTCAAACTCATTTGTGCTCGGATTGAGTTGAATTTGGTGTCGTTGGGTTCATATTTCTGAGACGCTCAGTTTGACTATAAGTTTGTTGAAATCGAAGTTCAGATGATCCCGGATTTAATTTTTACAGTTCCTACTTGATTTTTATCTTCAGATTCGTGCCCGATCAAGATAAATTTTTGATGATATATCAGGTATCTAATAGCTTAATAATATATATGGTAAGAACTAATATCCTATAAACTTCCCAGATCCACAGTAATTCGCTAACACATGTGTGGCGTGATGATAGGACAGTGATGTGAGTTGTTATTTTTTATTATATTATGATGTTTTGAGTGTTATGCATGTAAATACTAAAATTTGTATGATAAATATATAAATACTATAGTTTTGAACACCAGCATGGAAATACCATTTTTTGGTTGAATCTGAATGAGGTGGAAGAGATAATATATGTGACATGCGACAGCGATGATGCAAAAATAGAGATGGAGATGGAACACACATACATGATTATTAAGTAGTTTCAAGCTTGTCTAAGACTCCAAAGATAGATTGGGGGAGAGGAGACATGTAATTCGAGGATTCCCATAATTTCAAACATTCATGAGAGAGAGAGAGAGATGCCAAAATTTCACTTTCATTCATATTTGCTTTATCTCATTGTTGCGTGCGAGAATATACGCGGCGGTAGAGTTTGTAAATTCGCGTCCTAGCGTTGCATGAGTATTTCGCACACAAACAGAAAAGAGAAAGTGAACACCAAGGTTTTTACGTGGAAAACCACAAAAGGGAGAGAGAGAGAGAGAGAGAGAGAGAGAACTCTCTCTATATATAATAGAAATATGAAACAATTAAAATTTATCTTAATACTTAGTTAAAGCCTTATGCATACGGAATTCTCAACCAGTGGATTCAAATTTATGGGTGGAACTATAATTAGCCTAGGCTAGAAAACTCTCGCATAGTCATACTTGTCTACAACCCTCAAACATAAACCTTCATGATCGCGAGTCTCGACTGAGTCCTCGCATATTGCCTCTCTCTCTCTCTCTCTCTCTCTCTCTCTCTCTCTCTCTCTCTACTTTCTCAACTTGCAAGTTCTTGGCTCTCGTAATGTGATTGTGTAAGCCTTGACATCATGATTTTATTCGTCTATGTGGGTTTAGCTAGTCGTTGAGTGTAAGTCCAGATCACGGGCATTCTTAATCATTGATAAGGTTTCACGCTACGCCTCCTTTGTTTTTTCAAGCTACAAGTCTCATCATAGAGTTTGCATTAAATTAGGTGGTGGGATGTACCTCATTGATACGTTTAGTCTTTACTTAGATTTAGAATCGAGAGTGACACTATCCATACAGTGTCATAATTCCTATGTTTAGGCGAGCTCCTATTCTTTGAAGACTATAAGAGATAAATATCCAAATTATTTGATGACATCCCTTCACCTGTTCAATTACTATGCATGATATGCTTACTTTGTGTGATTCACCTTCATTTTATTGATCTAGGTGTGTTGATTGTACCACCCTTTGCATGTCTAACCTTTACTTCCATTTCAATATAGAACCTTAGAAGACCTTTATAAAGAGAAATTTTGGACTATTTGTCTAAGGTGTATTTAAGTAAGGCTCATGAGAAATTTTATTATCCAGAATAAAATAAATATAATATATATGATAGAAACATGACTTGACACTTTAAACATCAAACAATTCTAAGATGTTTCTTTTGCTTATATATTGCTTGCTTCTTAATCTTCTTATGCAAATTTGCGTCTTTTATTTTTAAATTGTAATTGATAGAATTATGAAGTATTGTAGGCCTGTGGAATGTTGTTACAGGAAAGATGGACCAGAATGATGAACCTCTTTAAGGGAAGCATGGATACATCTATAAGATAAAACTTGAAGATCCACGAGCTGAGTTTGTAAGAAAATCTAATTGTGTTGTATAAGTCAAGCAAATTAACTGTAAGTCATAATTATAATAATTGGATCCTTATATTTTCCTTTCCTGCTAGTTGGTTTTTATATACATGCATATGATTATTTGTTTATTTTGAATGTGCATTACAAATATACGCTTTTTTTTTTAGGTTTGTTCATTTGTTTTTACTTTAGAGTGTTATGGATACTTATTATTTTGAACTATATTTAACATAAATATCATATAAAAAGAAAAATAATAATTCAATGTATTCTTTGATTAAATTTTATTTAAATTGTTAAATTTATTTTAACATGGATTTAATAACTATTAAATTTAAAATAAATCCAATATTTATGAACCTATCTTACCAATCAAAATTTTTTCCTAAATGAAACATTAGACCCATACACCGGTGGCTCCAAAAATTTCCTACACGTGTTTAGCGAAGAGCTGTTTGGTATAGACCTGGCTCATCTTCCACTGGACCACACGCACACAGTAAGTATCCCAAGCGCCGCGACGCGTGCGATTCTCAAGTGCTGATTCCGCCCCCACGTAGATCTAACTCCTAGCCACGCGTCCCCGAACATGTTCACCCCTACCATCTCCGCTTCCTCTGGTTCTCCTTTATTACTCATTCCCTTCCGACGACCCTCTTCAACCTAATGCTTTCCTCTATTTCCATCTTCAACCGCTGCGTCTCTCCCAAGCTTCTTCCCTTTCGCCGTCTCAAAACCTTCGGCCATCTAAAAACCCTACCTTTCCTCCTCGCAACAATGTCTTCCACCCACGACCAAGCTTTCCCTTCTCAACACCAAGACCTCCAACCCGGCAAGGAACACATCATGGAACCCACTCCCGACGCCCTACCTCGCGACTACAAAACTGCTGAAAAACTACTTGGAAAGTCAGCGCTCATCACCGGCGGCGACTCCGGCATTGGCCGCGCCGTCTGCCTCCACTTCGCCCTCGAAGGCGCCTCCGTCGCCTTCACCTACGCTAACTCCGACGAAGTCAAAGACGCCAACGACACCCTCCATCTCCTCAACCAGCTCAAAACTCCCACCGCCAAAGCCCCTCTCGCCTTCCCCACCGACGCGGGCTTCGAAGACAACTGCCGCAAGGTCGTTGAAGCCGCCGCCGCCCACTTCGGCGGCACCATTGACATCCTCGTCAACAACGCGGCGGAGCAGTACGTATCGCATTCTATCACCGACATAACAGAGGAGCAGCTGGAGCGCGTCTTCAGGACAAACATATTCTCCTACTTTTATATGACGAAATTCGCTGTTAAGTATATGAAGGAGGGGGGATCCATCATTAATACGGCGTCGGTGAATGCTTATAAAGGGAATGACAAGCTCCTGGATTATACGGCGACGAAGGGGGCTATAGTGGCGTTCACGAGGGGGCTGGCTCTGCAGTTGGTGGAGAAAGGGATAAGAGTGAATGGAGTGGCGCCAGGGCCTGTGTGGACGCCGCTTATACCGGCTTCGTTTGATGAGGAGGCTGTGGCGAATTTCGGGAAGCAGGTGCCGATGAAGAGGGCGGGGCAGCCGAATGAGATAGCGCCTAGTTATGTGTTTCTTGCGAGCCTGGACTCTTCCTATATTACTGGTCAAGTTATTCATCCCAATGGTGGCACCATTGTTAATGGCTAGGAGTAAGTTGCAAAGCGGCACCATCTGTGGGAATGATGTTCCTCGAGATTGTCGGCTTTTCGTTTTGGAATAAGATGATGCGATGAAGTGCGAAGATTTTGCAGTGTTTTCACTTTGCTGTCTAGTTTTATATGTTGATGTTGTCTGAACGAAGATAAACTCAATATATCAAAAATAAGTACAAAATGAGAGTAAAGGTTCATTTCACAGTCAAAAATTTAATTTCTGATTAGTCACAAAAAATCGACTCTTGAAAAATTAAATTCTGGATCATTCAATGTTTGATTTTAGGAAATTTATAGTCAAAAAGAAAATTAACCCATCAACATAAACAATCAGTCAAATTCAAGCTCAAATGAACTCAAATCAAAGGTCCAAAGCATACTTGGAGGCTTTTTTTTTGGGTAAAATACTTGGAGGCTTCAAAGCATTAATTAGATAATCAAATAATCATTGAATATCTCATGCTTATAGTAGATTCGAGCAGCTAGACGAGACGAGTCCAACTGTCCAACGAGCTCGAGATTGCTTAAATATGACATCATTATGACATCCAAATGCTTGATCAAAGATTTATGATTGAAGGAATTTATATTGGTCATCCATCCTAACACTCCTAACATGATTGATATTTTTCATATTTATAAGTCATGCCACTTTCAAAAAAAAAATGAAAATTATAAATGGTCTCCATTCTTCACATGAGGGAGGTGGAGGAGAAGGAGAAAATTTTACTACAATCCTTCTGATCACCGTTATTAGATTGCAACCTTTTTTATCTCTATTGTCTGCTTATTATGGCCTTGCCGATCAAACAAACATTTCAATGCTAACTCTTTTCCACCAGGTAATGCACTCTTTATGATGTATATCTGCTACATCAAACTAAGGCCTACCCTTCAAGGAAGCGCCTCATTTCTAATCGAGGGCAAACACTAATGGATTTATACAAACTAGATCATGCCACATGTTTTTCCCCTTTTTTAGAGTTACCACGTAAAAAACTTATACTCTTTTCTCTCTCAAATATCTATTGATATGTCGGATATACATACATTGCTAAGATGTTTTATTCTCTCACATAACAATTTCATATACATGTGTGCAAATATACCCTAACTCTTTCACTACCACCACATGTCCTCAAAATTTTCTTATATTTAAATTGCATGATATATATTAAATCGTGAGTTTTTAAACTGAAATTTAATAAAATTTAGGTAAAAATGTATATCATGGAATAATTTGGAATATGATCAATCAAATTTTTTTGTGATATATATATATATATATATATAGTTTTGAGATGCCAAACTCACACACATCACATACATATAAATTTTGAACTCATGACCTCTTTGTTGGTAGTCAAAGTTTTCAATCAACAGATCAACATGAGCTACATTTAAGTAAATATGCAAGCACTAATATATTGATAAGATTAATTTATCAACTAATAACATATGCATGAATATCCATTATAAATTGAATCATTTAAAATTGACAAGTTCTTGACCCATTAGAAGATGCACCAAAATTACAATCTTTCACCTAATTTATATTGAGTGTCTTGGAGTTAAATCATGATCCATTATATGAAAAATTATTAGGTGCGAATATTGGACGTAGAGATACCGAACATCCACTAAAATTTGACACGTTCAGTACACTTTAATTGCACTTTTTGTGCGCTTTACTTACGTTTTACCTGTACTTTATTTGTGTTTTAGTTGCACTTTGATTGGTTTTTTATTGCGCTCTTCCTGCACTTTTCCTGCGCTTTGGCTGCACTTGGCTTAAAGTTCAACAGATACATTAAATATATAAAGTAAAAAATAAATCTAATTGAATATCTTCATATTCACTCAACAAGTTAAGATTTTATTGGAGTCTGAACATGCCTCTACCTCCGGTGTACGCACCAAATAATTTTCCCAATTATATAGCTCATCTTAACTTGTTGGTTTAGATTTTCAATTAATAGATTAAATTTAAAATCTTGCATATATTATATGTGACTTTGTAATTAAATTCTTTCGACGCCCTAAAAAAACATCTTAATTAATTGTTATTGGCGGATACCACAAAAATAGTCGCTTTCCATTAAACAATTATCACACTAGCTTTTAATAGAATTTTAGATAAGAATGGACATGCATAAAAGTGCCTAAAAGGTTAATATTAAGTAGGCCTTTTCTCAAGATTGGATTGACATTATTGTCAAAATTATTGATGTCTTAATTGTGAAATAAAATACTAAGTTTGAAGACATTTTTTAAAGATTTACGTGGAAAACTCAAAACACGGAAAAACTATAGGGGAGGAGTAGGACGGCTGCACTATAAAGAAAACAGAAGGTGGAGTACAAAAAACCGGAGCAAACCCTAAGACCTTTTTTGCAGCATATTTATAAGGAAAAATTAGGTCGAACCCCACAAGGGAACACTGCTCTCTTGGACCTACAGAACATTTGCGGAGTGAACAACGATCAAGAACATGAACAAATAAGGGTCGAACAAATTCAAGGCAACTCCAACAATATATATATATATATATATAGAAAAAACAATGAATTGTTGATCCGCCGACTCCTGCCATACAACTATTAGCACCTATAGTTATCTTACTAATTGTATTTACTTATTTGCCATTTGTATCTATTAATATGTCTCCCGTAACACTTTACCAATAAACAAGATTTACTTTCTTCTTCCAAACCTTCTCTGCTTTCCCGCTGCATTCCTTTCTTGTCTTCTCTCATGGTATCAAAGTCATGGTAGAACAAGAACCGAACAACTCCCTTCCTCCTACATCCTCCCTCCTCCTCCTCCTCCACCAACACCACTAATCCCGCCGTCCAACACCCCGGCATTCCTCCGGCACTGAAATTTCTTGTCACCAACATCAAGAATCTTGCTCCCCACCACCTCACGGCGGACAACTACGCTATATGGCGAACACAAATTCTGCAGCAGTTCAACGCCAACGGGTACGTTGGTCATCTTACCGGAACCACCAATCCTCCGACCGATGTCCACTCGGAAGCCTATGCTAGCTGGCATCTTGAGGACAGTAACCTCCTCTCAGCCCTTTTCTCCACCATTTCCCAATCAATCTTGCCTTGCATTCTCTCGTCCAACACCACCCACGAAGCCTGGGCGGTTCTTGAACGACATCTCCAACCCACCTGTTGTTCTCGCGTAATCCAGTTGAAGAACGAACTCCACAATGTTAGGCTCAAGGATCTCACCATTCCTCAGTATCTTACGCAAATTAAATCCATCGTCGACAACATTGCTGCCGCTGGCTCCAAGATCGAACTAGAAGACATCATTCACTACATTCTTCAGGGACTACCGACCACCTACAGCTCTTTCAAAATTGCGATTCGCACCTCTCAGCTACCTCTCGATCTTGACAACTTCTACTCCTTACTCTGCAGTGAAGCGATCAATGATTTCTAATTGATTATGATTAATTAACTAAGATTAATAAAAAAGAAATTTTTTACAAACGCGAAGCTTCTCATGTCTCCACTATCGACAACCCCGCGAATGTACGAATTTTCCTAAACTCAAATTTTCGCCCTCGAGGTTCGCGGCGGACTGGAAAACCTTCAGCAAGAACAGTCTCACGAGCTCTCCAACAACGTATCCAACACAGCTCTTTATGCCCCGTCTCAAAATTCATCCCGTGATCGCACGCAGCGTCGTTTCTTCAAGAACAAGAACTCCTCCCTGGCTTACACCAACCCACCGTCTCAGTCGATTCAACCCGTCTCCAATACCTCCACCAAACCGACTTGCCAAATCTATGGCAAGATTGGTCACATTGCCCTCAATTGCTGGCACCGATGCATCTTCAAGTTCGCTCCCACCGTCACTTGCCCTCCGAGAGCTCTTCTAGCCCAACCGTCGGTCAACCACCCTCAAGATTGGGTTCTTGATTCCGGAGCAACCACTCATCTCACGCTCGATGGCTCTTACCTTCAATCTCCCGCCATCTACCACGGGAATGACTCAGTTTTTGTTGCCAATGGGTCCACCCTTCCCATTCATCACGCCGGACAGGGTCTTCTTCCTCTTCCGGAAACATCTCATAAGCTTCACCTTAATAATCTGCTTCACGTTAATTCCCTAACCCATAATTTGTTATATGTTTCTAAACTCACCACATACAACGCTATTTCTATCAGCTTTGATGCTAATGGCTTTGAAATTAAGCATATTAAGGACCGCCATCTTCTTTGTGAACATCTCCGTAACGGTCTTTATCAGATCTCCATTACGCCAGATCCTCCTCCGTCGGCTCACACTACTACCACCACGAACATCACTGTCTGGCATGCCCGTCTCGGACACCCGAACAACAGTCTTCTACCGGTTCTTTCCAAGAGTATTCCAGATTTAAATAAACTCCCTCATTCTCTCATTTGTATCTCCTGTAACATGGCCAAAAGCCATAAGCAAAAATTTAATAAAAGCTCTTCGATTACTTCATCTCCTTTCGATCTCATTCACAGATATGTCTGGGGTCCTTCGTTTAATTCGTTAGACGGTCATCGCTACTATATAATCTTTATGGATAATTTCATAAGGTACTCATGGCTTTACCTCATGCACTCCAAAAGTGAAGCTCTAATAAAATTTAAATCATTTTGAGCTCTCGATAAAACTCAATACCACACCACACCGAAAATCTTACGCTCCGACGGCGATGGCGAATTCACCAGTCATGCTTTTAAGGCCTACCTCCAAGAATCGGGCATCACTCAACAGTTAAGCTGTCCGCATACTCCTGAACAAAATGGCCTCTCCGAACGTAAACACCGTCACATCCTTGATCTCACTCATGCTCTGCTTCACGAATCTAATCTTCCTCCGAGATTTTGGGCGGAAGCTCTGTCCACCGCACCTTCATATCAACGGCTTCCAAATCCATCAATCTGCACACTCCATATCAACGGCTCCATGGTCAAATTCCTAACTACACTCACCAATTCACAATCCACTGACTGTCCACTCCCTCAGACCCATCCTAACACTCACACACCTCCTCCCAACATTCAATTTACTCCTTCCACCCATCGCACCACCGAACTCCCCAATCTTTCTCCCACTCCCACACCCCTGTCTCCACCCGCTCAACCCACCACTCACCCGATCCATCCAATGCAAACCTGTCTTAAATCTGGCATAACCAGACCAAAACAGGTTCTCAATCTTCTTAGCCACACTTCCAACAGTCACACACCCAATAATTATAAGCAAGCTGCTCCATTCACTCACTGGCAAAGCGCTATGCGCGAAGAATATAATGCCCTGCAGCAACAGAACACTTGGACTCTCGTTCCACCACCGCCGGACAAACACATTCTCGGATGCAAATGGACATACAAAATCAAAACTCTTCCATCCGGCCAAGTTGATTGTTACAAAGCCCGTCTTGTAGCCCTCGGCTACGATCAAGAATTTGGCATAAACTTCACCGAGACGTTCAGTCCCGTTGCAAAGATGCCAACCATCCGCATCCTACTCACGCTCGCACTTCAACAGCAATGGCCCATACTCCAACTCGATGTCTCAAACACCTTCCTGAACGGCGATCTTCAAGACGACATCTATATGCGTCAGCCACCCGGATTCAAAGACTCAAGCAAACCGGACGTCATCTGCAAACTCCAAAACTCACTATATGGCCTCAAGCAAGCACCGCGACAGTGGTTCCAGAAACTCACCGACTTCCTTCAAACCAAAGGATTTGGGTTCAGTCGCTCCGATCCCTCCTTACTCCTCTTTCAACAGAACAATATTTTCATTTACATCCTAATCTACGTCGACGACTTTCTTGTCACAGGTAACAATCCGGAGGCCATTCAACAGTTACTCCAACAAACGATCTCAATTCGCTCTCAAGCAACTAGGCCACATCTCCCTCTTCCTCGGCACAACCCCACCGGCTACTTCCTCACACAGCAACATTACGCCACCAAACTACTACAAGAAGTCGGGATGCTTGACTGCAAGCCGGCTCCCACCCCAGTCACGCCGAACTCCAAAAATCCAATTGCGGATTCGCCGCCCTTCAGCAACCCAGCTCTCTACCGTAAACTAGCTGTATCACTTCAATATCTCTCCATCACAAGACCGGACATTGCATTCGCTACCAATCACATATGCCAACACATGCATCAACCATCCGCTCGGGACTTTCAAGATCTTAAACGGCTTCTCCGTTACATCAAAGGAACCATATCCTTTGGACTCCCAATCACTCCGGGAAAACTTCTGCTCACCACCTACACGGACTCCGACTGGGCATCCGACAACACCGATCGGAAGTCCGTCTTGGGTTTTTACACCTACCTCGGCCAGACCCTGGTATCTTGGACGGTAAAGAAGCAAATAACGGTAGCAAAATCATCCATCGAGGCCGAATACCGCTCCCTCTCAGCCGTCGTTTCCAAAGTCATATGGCTTAAACGGCTTGTAACTGAACTTCGCATCCCTCGGCACTTTCCGACCACCATTTACGACAATGTGTCCGCCATCGCGATTGCAAAGAATCCGGTATTCCACACCCGAACCAAACACATTGAAAACGATTACCACTTCACTCGCCAACACATCGGGGACGGCAACATCGCAATCGAGCACATCTCTTCCACAAATCAAATTGCAGATATTCTGACTAAAGCTCTACCAATCAACCGGTTCACCGAGCTCCGCACCAAATTAACCATTAGACAATCGAATGATTAATTTGAGGGGCTATTAGCACCTATAGTTATCTTACTAATTGTATTTACTTATTTGCCATTTGTATCTATAAATATGTCTCCTGTAACACTTAACCAATATACAAGATTTACTTTCTTCTTCCAAACCTTCGCTGCTTTCCCGCTGCATTCCTTTCTTGTCTTCTCTCAACAACATTGTTAAAAATATATTGAATTTATAGCTATAGAAGCGCTGTTCTAGTCGCAACTGTGTCATCTGAAAATTCATCAAAGATTTCCCATAGTTGTTATTGAGCCCAAGATTCAGATACCTCGGCTATTTCGGGGGTATATTATGTTACCAAAAAAAAAGGAGAAATGATTCAATGATAAGAAAAGAAAATAACACATAGCAGCATAATAAAATATAAGCATCCCAATAACCCTTAACAAGTAGAAATTTTCAAATTTACTAATTGCAAATTCAAAAAGCATTCAAACAACACTTCCTGAATCCAGGATGGAATCAGTTCAGGTAGGAATGAACAGCGTGAACAACCAGAAGAGCAGCTTACCGCATCTTTGCTGCTGCAACTGGAACAGCATACAAGGACCTCAGCTGCCTATTTATGAGGTTGCTATGGTTGAGAGCGAGCTTAAGCTCCATGTCATCAGACCACCATTGCTGCAAACCATGAGCTTCAAGGAACTTCTTTGGCCCATTTGACATTACAAACAACTTTGCTGTCGTTGCGGCGCCTCCGCTGGCTCCTGCTTTACCCAAACCACCACCATCTCTAGCAATCTCAGGTCCAGAGGGATCACTGTAGTAGCAGCAAATATAGTCACTGTTGTTCACATACAAATGAGGCACCCACTTGCTGATCTCGGTGCACTGAATCTTCACAGCTCTGGCCTCAGCGTTCTTCTCAATAAGACCACCCTCACCGGCACTTCGTGTGGGCAGAGCCGCTCTTACTCTGCTCCAAATAGACACAGCCATCTCTCCAACGCTCTTCAGGCTCATAGCGAGAGAAACAGACGGAGGGTTGAACAAATGGCACTCCACAAAAACTCCCTCTTTTGCCAATGCTTTGCCCACCTGGAGAGCAAATCCAGCGCCCAACGAATGGCCCCCAACGCTCACATTGCTGCTCCCAAACCGATCAACAGCAGATCTCAGTGCTGCGAGAGCTCCGGCGAATCTGACAGAGCCCTTTAGGCTTTCCCAAGCGAGGAAACGAAGATCGTCTTCCAAGTCTCTTCGAATTGTCGGGCTCTTAAGAATAGTGCCCCTGAGAGCGAGCACAGCTCTTGGGGCGCCACTTGGTCTCACCACTATGAATTCTGAGAAAGCGGCGTATCGATCCCATTCTAGAATGGCGCCATAGATGGATCCGTCTCTGTCATCTATTAGTGTTTGCGTTACCTTGTATTTGAAGGGCTTCCACCATTTTGGGGCAAGGCCGTTCTCTTCAGTCCGCTTTTCCTGTCGATCGAGCTCGAGCAAGTAGACTGCTTGAATGAAACAGGCAATCACCATTCTTTTGTAATTGGGATCCCGCCTATGATCGAAGAAAGCAATGATGTAAATCGAGTATAAATTTGAAACATCAAACTGTTTCCGAACGACATGAGAGTGGTAAATTGTAAAAGAGAAGAAGGAAATTTATTAGGAAGCGGTGAATTGAGACAAATTAAGGGGAGATTTGAGACAAGAATGCTCCTTTTAGGTATTTTAGGTCTGAGAAACAATATCAGATCAATTAGGAAGTCAAGATTTCAGCATAAGGCATTAAAGGAAAGAACAAACGGTAAAATATCGAATCCGTCATCAAAATAAGCCCCAGAAATTGCAGTTTCCAATTTATTCAAGAACCCGAAAAAATAGGAAGGCAACTAAATCCAAGACTACGTAGCACTACCAATAGAAGGAAAGCAAACAAAAGATTTGAAACAAAAAAGGAATTCAAGAAATAAATACAAGAAACGAGGGATAAGAAAAGAGCAAACCAGCTTGAGCGGATAAGATCCTTCCAATTAGGAGAAGAAAGGTTGCGGGGACCGGAGACATGGAAGTCATAGGGGTGTTCTTCCACCTCTGAGTTCTCTATCTTCTTTGTTCCTTCATCACCTGCTCCGCCACCGCCGGTGCCGCCACCGTCATTCTCTTTTGCGGATGAGCTCCAGGCCATTAGGCTTACGGAACATTCTACCTCTGCTTCATCTTGCCTTCTCTTTAGCATTTCTTGCATGATGCCTAATGGAATAAAGAGCAGAGGACGCGTAGGAACTAAGCGTGTTCAGGGAAAGACCCAGGAAGGGCGAGGGCGACTAGAGGAGAAATTCGGAGAAAGGCTGAAACTAATCGGAATATAAAAAAGTTATGTATTACTTTTAAAATCGGAAATCGATAGGCAATTTGAATTCCGATGCGGACCTCATCGATGTAACGGTCAGATTGCCCTTTCTTTATTATTATTATTTTCATTTCTAGAGAGAAAAGGCTAAAGATGAAATGAACAGTACTGGCTATTCCATCCCGGCCGTGCATCTCGTCACGGATGGTTAGCATTCGTTTGATTTCCTCGTCTTGAGCATAAGTACGGATAGGATAGGATAGGATAATTGCAGCGTTTAATTAGCACGATATATTGAAAATGGTTTTACTCTGCTGAGCGATAAATAATTTCTTTGAGAATAGGTTGATCAAATGCTTAATGATGTTGATGATTCATTAGACCCTACTCTAATCTCTCTCTCTCTCTCTCTCTCTCTCCATTTGGGACGGCTTTTCTATTGCTTCTTAAATTAGCTTTCTAATACAAAAAGTTTAATTCTTGTACTAGAAATCTGATTTAAGAAGTACTAAGAAAGTCATCATAAACAAATCCTTTGTTTAGCCCTATGAAGTTGATATGCATCTCTCTCTCTCTCTCTCTCTCTCTCTCTCTCTCTCTCTCTCTCTCTCTCTCT